CAACAGGAATCTTCTTCACAGCCTTCAACTTCACAATACGCTCCACTTCAGGTTCCCATCGACTACTCAGTGGACCCATTTTGTTCCCAAGCAGGCTACGGGCCCGAATTTGGCCCTGTTTACAATGAAGCAGTGCAGACCGTGGAGCAGCCATCAATAGCACCAGCTCCGATTCCTTCGCTAATTTATACTAGACCATCTCGGGCGTCCAATGCGGGTGCAGCTCCAGGCCCAGGGCCATCGACTTCACATGTTCAGCAACCAGCAGCAGCCCCTCATCAATATTTCCGCCCTATAACGACGACGGATTACCTTTCACAGCCAATGCTTGATGAAAGCATGGACTTCTCACAGGTGCAGTCTTCCTCACAGAGTTATGCAGATCCCTGGAATACTTCCGTCTATGGGCAACCAGCAGAATCTGCGAGCTACATACCCATGGAGCAGGAGCCTATCCGTCAAGTCCAGGAATTTCTTCCCTCGGAGCCAGTACCCATCAAAACGAAAGTCAAGGGACCACCGAAGAAGACTACAAAACCCGTGCTAGAAAGCTCTTCTCCCCTTTCAACTGACAGTGGAACTACTACAGACCCCGAACTTTGGGAATCCGTCTCGATGCGAAGAAGCCCCAGAGCTGAAGGCGACCAAGTCCGGACAGAACCTCGGCCAAAAGGTCCGCCATTCGAACAAAAGGGCCCCACATTCAATAAAGAAGTCCAGCCAGTTCCTCCACCACCGCCTTCTTCACCAGAACAAGTCGAAAGAGAGAAACCCTTGGAAGCCATGACATCAGAAGAATTAGTTCGCCAATTTGAACTCGAAACTGATCGCTTAGAGGAGGAAGCCCTTCGTCAAGTAGAAGACTACGATCGGCAAGAACAACTGAGTGAGCTCAGGAAGAAGATGTGTGAACGATTCAAGAAATTTTACCCGAATCTATTCGGTAACGAGGATGAAGAGGAAGTCACGGATACGGCAGCAAAGACCTCCGAGGAGGAAGAGGAAGATGAGACAGGCATTCCTATGGTGAGCTCCTACATTGGAGAATATTTTCATTACTGATGTGAGACTTTTCAGGATGGTAAAGTTATTCGAAATGGTATACAACTTGCGGCTAGATATTTGGCTTTATGGTTTCCTGACAAAAAGGAGAGAAGAGAAATGATTCCATGGAATACACTAAGAAAAATCAAACCAATACGTCTTTGTTTTCTGGATAACCGAGTAGGTAAGCACATCTTCAAATTCATAAAAAAAGTTTTTGTTTTTAAAAAAAA